AAAGAAAGTTTAAAAGTTAATCAACATTTTCTATTGCTATTAAATTTGTAAAACTACTCTATAAAAATAATCCATGTAATTGTATATGTACTAATATGGAAAAGAATGAAGATTTTCAATAATATATGCATATCATTTGGAATGCACTTTTTGAATCGTACACTCTTGGAAACGGAGGAAACTGACATTTCTAATTTATAGTGGAAAGGATATATTGGGGAAAATGGTGGGGAACCACTGGCCTTCAGGATCTAGTTGGGATTTAAAAACGAATAGGTACCAAAAAAATTATCTGCTGTAAGAATGAATTGATTGGAATTTACAGTTTCAAAAAGTTATAGAAGTTGATGCGTAAAGACAAACATGGAGAGCGAGGTAAACTTTATGGAAGACATCGCAGACGCTTAAAGATATGTTTGTGTTTGGATAGAGGCAGATTTTAGGAAGAAACGACCCAACTGTAGGTGTTTGTTTAGTTATGCCGCATTGCGAGAGTTCGCAGTGTAAAGGAGACATGATGAAGAGAAGGAAGTGAATTAATACATGGACAGTTTCTGGCAGAGAAAGGATTTGTCAAAGAGTGAATTAAAAAAAATATAAAGATTAAAGATTTAAGGTGAGGAGATATTGGGGATGAAATACTCATGATAAAGATAGTTGAAAATTCAAGGGACAAAATAAATGGATTAAGAGATTAAAGACTAGAGGAGAATAGAAATGGAGATTCATGAGTGGACGGATTAAAGGCAGGGGGAGAATTCTTGAGTGGAGGTAAGGTATGTTTTGGATTAAAGTCGTGGGGAGAAAAGAGAAGAAGATTAAGAATTGGAGGTAGGAAAAATTTGGGGATTAAAGAGCGAAGTGGTAAAGAGATGGAGATTAAAGGAAAATTCAAAGAAAACTGGGGATTAAAGACTGGAAGGGAAATAGATGGAAATTACTGAATGGAGGTAAATAATTTCCGGACTAAAGATTAAACGTGAAACGTGATGGAGATTAATAAGTGGAAATCAATAATATTTGTGATTAAATATTGGAGGATAAAAGAAATGGAGATTAATGAGTGCAGGTAAAAATGTGGTGGATTAAAAAGTGATGGTGAATAGATTAAAGATTAGTGGTGAAGAAGATTTGAAGATTAAGGAGTGGGCGTGAAGAGGCATGGAGATTAAAGATTGGAGGTAATCAATATTGAAGGTTAAAGAGTGCAGATGAAGACAGTTGGGATTAAAATCCGTAGATATTTGGAGATTAAATGCTAGAGATGAAGAAAGTAGGAAACTAAAGAGTAGATTCGAAGAGAGACAGGAGAGTGGAGGTGACCATATTTTGGGTGTACATATCGGAGGTAAAGAGATTTGGGGAACAAAGTTTGTAGTTAAAGAGAGTTGGAGATTAAAGATTGGAGGTAAACAAAGTGGTAGATTAAAGATTGGAGGTAAGCAAAGTTGTAGATTGTCGAGAGTAGGTGACCATATTTTGAGAGTACATATCGGAGGTAAAGAGATTTGGGGAACAAAGTTTGTAGTTAAAGAGAGTTGTAGATTAAAGATTGGAGGTAAACAAAGTTGTAGATTAAAGATTGGAGGTAAACAAAGTTGTAGATTGTCGAGTGGAGGTGACCATATTTTGAGAGTACATATCGGAGGTAGTTTAAAAGAGATTTTGAGGAACAAAGTTTGTAGTTAAAGAGAGTTGTAGATTAAAGATTGGAGGTAAACAAAGTTGTAGATTAAAGATTGGAGGTAAACAAAGTTGTAGATTGTCGAGTGGAGGTGACCATATTTTGAGAGTACATATCGGAGGTAAACAGATTTGGGGAACAAAGTTTGTAGTTAAACAGAGTTGTAGATTAAATATTGGAGGTAAACAAAGTTGTAGATTAAAGATTGGAGTTAAGCAAATTTTGTAGATTGTCAGTGGAGGTGACCATATTTTGAGAGTACATATCGGAGGTAAAAAGAGATTTGGGGCTAAACAAAGTTTGTGGAAGTTAAAGAGAGTGGTAGATTAAAGATTGGAGGTAAACAAAGTTGTAGATTAAAGATTGGAGGTAAACAAAGTTGTAGATTGTCGAGTGGAGGTGACCATATTTTGAGAGTACATATCGGAGGTAAAGAGATTTGAGGAACAAAGTTTGTAGTTAAAGAGAGTTGTAGATTAAAGATTGGAGGTAAACAAAGTTGTAGATTAAAGATTGGAGGTAAACAAAGTTGTAGATTGTCGAGTGGAGGTGACCATATTTTTAGAGTACATATCGGAGGTAAACAGATTTGGGGAACAAAGTTTGTAGTTAAACAGAGTTGGGGATTAAATATTGGAGGTAAACAAAGTTGTAGATTAAAGATTGGAGTTAAGCAAAGTTGTAGATTGTCGAGATTGGAGGTGACCATATTTTGAGAGTACATATCGGAGGTAAACAGATTTGGGGAACAAAGTTTGTAGTTAAAAAGAGTTGTAGATAAAAAGATTGGAGGTAAACAAAGTTGTAGATTAAAGATTGGAGGAAACAAAAAGTTGTAGATTGTCGATTGAAGGTGACCATATTTTGAGAGTGACATATCGGAGGTAAAGAGATTTGGGGAACAAAGTTTGTAGTTAAAGAGTGTTGGAGATTGGAAAAGATTGGAAGTAAACAAAAGTTGTAGATTAAAGATTGGAGTTAAGCAAAGTTGTAGATTGTCGAGTGGAGGTGACCATATTTTGAGAGTACATATCGGAGGTAAACAGATTTGAGGGAAACAAAGTTTGTAAACAAAGTTAAAAGATAGTTGTAGATTAAAGATTGGAGGTAAACAAAGTTGTAAAGAGATTAAAGATTGGAGGTAAACAATGTTGTAGATTGTCGAGTGGATTGACAAGTGGAGGTGAGATATTTTGAGAGTACATATCGGAGTAAAGAGATTTGGGGAACAAAGAGATTTGGGGAACAAAGTTTGTAGTTAAAGAGAGTTATAATTAAAGATTGGGGAGGTAAACAAAGTTGTAGATTAAGAAAAAGATTGGAGGTAAACAAAAGTTGTAGTTTGATGATTGGAGTAGACCATAGTTTTTGAGAGTTACATATCATATCAGGTAAAGAGATTTGGGGAACAAAGTTTGTAGTTAAAGAGATTTGGAGATTAAAGATTGGAGGTAAACAAAGTTGTAGATTAAAGATTGGAGGTAAGCAAAGTTGTAGATTGTCGAGTGGAGGTGACCATATTTTGAGAGTACATATCGGAGGTAAAGAGATTTGGGGAACAAAGTTTGTAGTTAAAGAGATTTGGAGATTAAATATTGGAGGTAAACAATGTTGTAGATTAAATTTTGGAGTTAAGCAAAGTTTTAGATTGTCGAGATTGTGAAGGTAACCATATTTTTTGGAGTAACAAAGTTGTATCGGAGGTAAAGAGATTTGGGGAACAATGTTTGTAGTTAAAGTGAGTTGGAGATTAAAGATTGGAGTTAAACAAAGTTGTAGATTAAATATTGGAGGTAAACAAAGTTGTAGATTGTCGAGTGGAGGTGACCATATTTTGAGAGTACATATCGGAGGTAGAAAGATTTGGGCAACAAAGTTTGTAGTTTAAGAGATTTGGAGATTAAAGTTTGGAGGTAAACAATGTTGTAGATTAAAGATTGGAGGTAAGCAAAGTTGTAGATTGAAGAGTGGAGGTGACCATATTTTTGAGTGTACATGTGGGGATGTAAAGAGATTTGGGAAGAAAGTTTAGATTACTGGAGTTAAGCAGAGTTGGAGATTAAAGATTGGAGGTAAACAAAGTTGTAGATTTAAAAAGACTGGAGTACATATCGGAGGTAAAAGATTTGGATTTGTAGATTAAAATTGTAAACAAAGTTGTAGAGGTGACCATATTTTGAGAGTGGAGGTAAAACATATTTATAGACAGTTGGAGAAGATTGGAGGGAGGTAAACAAAGAGATTTTGGGGACAAAAGTGACCATTTTTAGTTAAAGAGATTTAAAGATTAAAAAAGATTGGGGGGTAAACAAAAGATTGTGGAGGTAAACAAAGATTGATTGTCGAGTGGAGGTGACCATATTTGACCATATTATCAGAGTACATATCGGAGGTAAACAGTAGATTTTAGAGGGAAGAAAGTTTGTAGTTAAAGAGAGTTGTAGATTAAATATTGGAGGTAAACAAAGTTGTAGATTAAAGATTGGAGTTAAGCAAAGTTGTAGATTGTCGAGTGGAGGTGACCATATTTTGAGAGTACATATCGGAGGTAAAGAGATTTGGGGAACAAAGTTTGTAGTTAAAGAGAGTTGGAGATTAAAGATTGGAGGTAAACAAAGTTGTAGATTAAAGATTGGAGGTAAACAAAAAGATTTGGAGTTAAAGAGATTTGGAGATTAAAAGGTAAACAAAGTTGTAGATTGACGAGATTAGAGGTGACCATATTTTTTTGAGAGATTACATATCGGAGACCATATTTTGAGAGTACATATCGGAGGTAAAGAGATTTGGGCAACAAAAAGAGATTTGGGGAACAAAGTTTGGGTGACCATATTTTAAAGAGAGTTGGAGATTAAAGATTGGAGATTAAAACAAATTTGTACATTAAAGATTGGAGGTAAACAAAGTTGTAGATTGTCGAGTGGAGTTGACCATATTATGAAAGTATTTGGGGAACAAAGTTTGTAGTTAAAACATTTATTTTGGAGGTAAACAAAGTTTGATTGGAGTTAAACAAAAGAGAGTTGTAGATTAAAGATTGGAGGTAAAAAATGTTGGTAGATTAAAGATTGGAGTTAAGCAAAGTTGTAGATTGTCGAGTTGGAGGATTGACCATATTTTGAGTTGTAGATGACCATATCGGAGGTAAAAAGCGATTTGGGAGGTTAAAAGAGAACAAAAGATTAAAGATTGAGGAACAAAAGATTTAGTGGAGGTTAAAGAGTACATTTGGAGGTAAACAGATTTGGGGAAGAAAGTTTGTAGTTAAAAGACAGTTGGAGATTAAAGATTGGAGGTAAACAAAGTTGCAAAATTGGAGTGGGGTTAAGCAAAGTGGAGGTAAACAGTTGTAGATTGTAGATTAAAGAGAGTTGTAGATTAAAGAAGTAAACAAAATTGCAGATTAAAGATTGGAGTTAAGAAACTTGTAGATTGTCGAGTGAGGTGACCATATTTTTGAGAGTACATATCGGAGGTAAACATATTTGGGGGAACAAAGTTTGTAGTTAAAGACAGTTGTAGATTAAAGATTGGAGGTAAACAAAGTTGTAGATTAAAGATTGGAGATAAGCAAAGTTGTAGATTGACGAGTGGAGGTGACCATATTTTTGAGAGTAAAATATAAAAAGGAGGGTAAACAAATTTGTAGATTAAAGATTGGAGGGGAGATTGTCGAGTGGAAGGTGACCAAAGTACATATCGGAGGTAAAAGATATTTGTGGAACAAAGTTTGTAGTTAAAGAGAGAATTAAAAGTTTTGTTGAGATTAAAAATAAAAAAATTGTGAGTACATATTAAACAAGTTTTGTTAGATTAAAGATTGGAGGTAAGCAAAATTGCAAAAAATTGATTCGAGTGGAGGTGACCATATTTTGAGAGTACATATCGGAGGTAAAGAGATTTGGGGAACAAATGTTTGATAGTTAGATTAAAAGGTAAAACAAAGTTGTAGATTAAAGATTGGAGGTAAAACAATGTTGACCATATTTTAGATTCGGAGGTAAAAGATTTGGGGAACAAAGGTAGTTAAAAAGTTGTAGATTAAAGATTGGAGGTAAAAACAAAGTAGATTAAAGATTGGAGGTGACAAAAGTTGTATTTTGAGTAGACCATATTTTGAGAGTACATATCGGAGTTAAATTTTGGGAACAAAGTTTGTAGTTGTAGATTAAAAGAGATTTTGGGGAACAAAGTTTGAGAGATTTGACCAAATTTAGTTAAAGAGTTATAATCATTGAAGGAAAAAAAGAGTTGTGGGTGACCATTTTTAAAGATTGGAGGTAAAAAACAAAGTTGTAGATTGTCGAGCAAAAGTTGGAGGTGACCATATTTTGAGAGTACATATCGGAGGTAAAACAGATTTGGGGAACAATGTTTGTAGTTAAAGAGAGTTGGAGATTAAAGATTGAGGTTAAACAAAGTTGTAGATTAAATATTGGAGTTAAGCAAAGTTGTAGATTGTCGAGTGGAGGTGACCATATTTTGAGAGTACATATCGGAGGTAAACAGATTTGGGGGAACAAAGTTTTAAACAAAGTTGAAGATTAAAGATTGGATTTAAGCAAATTTGTAGATTGAAAGACCAAAGTACATATAAGAGGGAAAGAGATTTAAACAAAGTTTGTAGATTAAAAAGATTGGAGGTAAATATTGGAGG